ACTAAATCATGAAAGTTAAGAAAAAAACAGCAAATAAAAACTAATACAACTGGGAATCAACTAAATTTTCTTTTTCAGGAAAGATCAATGAAATGCATAAACTTCTTGCAAGACTGGGGGAGTGTGTGTGCAAATTATTAACATTAAGAATGAAAGAGGAAGCATCACTCTACCCACTGAAGACAGTCGAGGGACCAAAGCTACAGCAACCATATACATACTACATACACAATTTGATGTATATGTGTCAAGTTGAAAGAGATCTATTCTATACAAGCTATAAGCTACCAAACTTCACCTAAGAAATAACTTGAATATATCAAAGAAATTATTATGTAGGAAAAAAATTCTTTTAAAATCTAAACCCTAGAAGCCATACATGCCTGCTAGATAAGGAAGAAATAACATCAATTTGATAAACCCTGCCCCCAAACAAAGCTTAAGAATATTTTCTCACCTCATTTTATGAAAGAAGATTACCCTAACCAAAACAAAAGACAATAAAAGGGGAAACGGAGGGAGAGAAATGAGAAAAGGGAGAAAGAGAGGAAGGAAGGAGAATAAGAAGATAAAATACAAGATTACGTAGAATAACGGAAAAAACTTGCAGCAACACAGAAAAAAGAAATTTCTTAACTATATGTGGGGCATATTCAAAGAATCTATAGCTACCATCCTATTTAAATAGTAAAAGACTAATGCTTTTCTTCTCTCTCTCTCTCTCTCTCTCTCTCTCTCTCTCTCTCTCTCTCTCTTTTGGTTTTTTGAGACAGGGTTTCTCTGTGTAACCGGCCTGGCTGTCCTGGAACTTTGTAACCAGGCTGGCCTTAAACTTACTGAGATCCTCCTGTCTCTGCGCCCCAAGCGCTGGGATTAAAGGTGTGCACCACAAAGCCTGGCCTAATGCTTTTCTTCCAAGACCAAGACTAAGACAAAGAAATCGCCTTTCACCACTCCTATTTAATTGACAGCCCTAAAAGAAAATTAAAAGATGCAATAAAAAAATAAATAAAAGAGAAAGACACACAGTTTGCCCTTACTGCAAACATTTTCTATGTAGAAAAACCTGAGGAATCTATAAAAGTCCCTAAAATAAAGGCATTTACCAAGGTTCCAAGATAAAAAGATCATGCAAAAATTATCTATGTCTCTGAACATTATGAAGCAAGTAGAATTTGAAATTAAGTGGAATGGACATCTAAGTTATGTATGTATATAGATTACTCTCAATAGCTCCCAGAATAAATACATAGACCTGTCAAAGATTCTTATGCTTAAAACAAAATTCTGATTTTAAAAATCAGTGACTTAAGTAAATAGAGAAATGTACAAACTCATAGTTAACTCTTCACAATCTGATCTAAGACTTAAAATATCCCACTGAAAATGGTGATGAGATTTTTTAAAATATAGACAAGCTGATTCTAGCCATTTTATGGAACATTAAAAGACTTCAAATATAACTCTTAAAAAGAATAAAACTGTGCTCACATTTGATTTTCAATATAAAGCAACAGAATCAAGAGAGAGAATTCAGAAGTATATACATACAAATATGGTCAACTGATTTTGAAAAAGATGCAAAGGTAATTTATTGGAAATAGCATAGTGTTTTCAACCTATTCTGTTGGGAGAGGTCTGTACTGATTATATTTCTTCCTCTATCTATCTATCTATCTATCTATCTATCTATCTATCTATCTATCT